TGCTGGTCCTCTAGAGGGCACTCATGTGTTTTTCCCTTAATTTCTGGTTCAGGTACAAGAGCAATCCAAAGAACCCAGTAAGAACCCTTTCCTCAAGAAAAAACGGGCTCTGCTGTCTGAGCCATACCTCCTTCGAACTGTGCAGCAGATCCCAGGAGTTGGAAAAGTTAAAGCTTCCCTTCTGCTTCAGAAGTTCCCAAGTATCCATGAATTGAGTAACGCTTCTGTTCAAGAACTTGAGCTGGTAGTAGGACAAGTGGTAGCACAGCAAATCCACACCTTCTTCACCCAATCCAGGTGACAGCTGCCCTCACATCTATTGTTTTTGCCTTTTTGACCATGAACTACAGGATCTGGTTTTCATATTCAAAAAAACAAGAAAAAAGCCAGGTGCAGTGGCACACACCTCTAATCCCAGTGGCTGGGGAGGCTGAAATAGGAAGATCGCAAGTTCAAAGCCAGCCTCAGCAGTGTACCAAGATGATATCTCAAAGTTTAAAAAGGGCTGGGATTGTGTCTCAGTGGTTAAGTGTCCCTGGGTTAAATACCTGGTATTAAAACACACACACACACACACACTCCAAACAAAACAAAACAAAAATAGAGAATCTTACAGCATCTAGTGAAAGCTGAGGGAGGCCTTGATGGAGCCTGTGGTTATGCTGCTTTGCTGTCAAGTTTGAAAATTTAAGTTACCCTCACGTGGCAATGCCATCATTCTGCTAAGTTGGGGGGAAAGATAGCCCAAATCTTCTTAAGAGAGTCAGGGACTCTCAGTAAAAAGACAGGGCAGATTTTTATGAGTGACCCTAACCTGCATCTGTCATGGAAAAGACTTTCAGGTGGTGGATATATCCATCAAAAGGAAACTAATGCACAATGAAGCCCTGTGTATCTAAGCCCCTTCCTTCTTGGACTCAGAGGTGCTAGTCTTCAGGCAGGTCTCGTCTGCCAGTGTAAATAAACAAGTGCACAACTCCTTTCATGGTCCCTTTGTTCCTTGATTTTCTCCTTCCTTTTTTTTGGCAGAGGGAGGATGGCCAGTTTATAATCACTGGACAAGTGTTCTGAACACAGGAAGCCTAGAGTGTGAAATTCCCCATTTATAGATGAGAAGTTAATGTATATAAGTAAGAAAAGAATGTGTTTGTAGATGAATGCCCAACAGTGGGGGGATACACAAGAAAACAGAAGCAGCTGCATCCAATGAGGAGAGTCAGGTCTGGGGAGCAAAAGGTATAACAACCATTGAAAACACAATTAAGAACATATGTTTTAAAAGTTATTAAAATAACCAGTTTTATGAATCGTTAGTAATTTTTAAAAATCAAACACATGGGCTGGGGTTGTGGCTCAATGGTGGCGTGCTTGCCTAGCATGTGTGAATCACTGGGTTCAATTCTCAGCACTACATATAAATAAATAAAGGTCTATCGATAACTAATAGAAATTAAAAAAAAATTTGTGTATGAGGTTAATGAAAACTTGAAAGAAGGAATTAAAGTAAAATAAAAGCAAAAAAAAAAAAAAACTCAGGTAAATGAAGGTGTTTATTTAAATATTTATACAAACATGGCCCTAATAGCAGTAGATATACTTTCCCAAAGGTGGTTGCTTCCCTAAAGATATTGCACAATAGAAAATACTTGTTAATCCTCACATTAGATTTCAGCTATACTTTAAAAGCTATGTCATTTGTATGTCAACCATGAATCTTTAATTAGAGTCACAGTGTCATCCAACTTGCAGCCAGAGAAATCAGATTGGTAAGAATGTTCATTTAAAAAGTCAAATAGAACTTTAAACCTGAATCATTTACATCTTTACCTTACAAAATATAAAAACTACTTTTTTACCCAAGACTCTAAAAATATATAGTTATGTACTTTCTACTTTAAACAAAATGAAAAATAAAGTTTTGAGTATCAAACAGTATATTATCTACCCTGTAGACAGCATCTCCATCTAACACTGCCACTGTGTTAGCAACTTATAAATGGCATCGGACTAGAGGAAAAGGTGCTCCTAAATTATTTTTATTTTATTTTATGTTTTATTTTTGGCAGTTCTGGGCTAACCCAGGGCTCTGAGTTGGGTTCAATCCCCAGGACTGCCAAAAAAAAAGTCAAAACAAATTTGGCACTAGACTTTATCTGGAAATAGCATTCATATTATGTAGAAATAATAGTAAAATCTTATCACATTAGTAAGTTCCCATGAGGAAGCAGTTCTTTGGAGCTGTTTCTAGTAACAAATTTCATTCTGTCATAGTCCTCCAACCTGCCTTAACTCAAGGGTCCTCTGAACTCTAGGTTAAGGAATGATTATTATCCAAACTTTAACACTTGCAAATAGTTCTATTTTTATAGGAAACCCCAATTTAACTCAGCGCCTGAAATTTATAACTGTAACCACTGAAAACAGCCATAATATCCATACTATTCTATTTACAATATTTTATAGAATAAATATCTTGCAGCAATATAGTGACATTCCTCAAATAAGCATATTTTCCACGAATTTCTAGAGGTTTCTTGTTACTTTCTTAAAAGCATGTCAAATACAAGTTTACGCTGTGTCAAAATGGGATTTGACAATATCTGGATATTTTCCATATGGCACAAATTTTAAGGCCTAGTTAGCCCTAGAAACATTTGGGGCCTGAACATTTCTGTTTCCTCCCATTAGTATAAAGAGCTATCAGTGTTGAGCAGGCTGAAAGGAGTGGGGATCTTCTTCTTGATGTGAGGTCTTGCCACCCCAACTGCAGGGAGGCACAAGGTGCTGGCCGACTTCTGTCTGTTCTTATTGGTGCCCCAACTCAAAAAGGAAAGCTTTTTCGAGACTTTCTTGGTTTTGTCACTTTTATCATCATCGTCTATGGCTAAGCAGATCATGGAGTAAGTTTTCTGCATTCCCACAGAGTACGTGGCACTCTTATTATGCTGCACATAGAAAAGGAAGGAAAAAAGGTGTCAGACATCTTCAAGATACCTAGTAAATTATTATAAAGTTTGAGACAGTCTGCACTTAGCCTCTTCAAGCTGATTAACTCTGAAACATAGGTGACCAATGCTTACATAGAATTTGACCCTTGAAAGCAAGGACAATTTTTAAGAAATATACTCAGTAGTAGTAATTTAGGTGTGGGAACCATTTCTCACTTTTTAAGGTTGTTATTTTGAGAAAGTAAAATAACCACGGTAAACAATAGGAAAATACAGTAGGTCTTCCTCTGGTTTCCAGGCCCTCCCTCCAAGGTAACTGCTGTGTTATACTTCTAGAGATAATGTGCATATGTGTGCATAAGTATACTTCACCATTTGTCTTCTTAAAAGGAATACACACTATTCTGCACCCTGCTTTTTTCAATTAACAGAACTTAGATTTCAATCCATGCTAGTAGATGTAGATCAGTTTCATTGTCTTTAAAGACAATATAGAATCCATCATGAAGACACTGCTATTAACTTTTTTCCCCTTTAAAAAAAATGTAGCCAGATGTGGTGCACACCTGTAATCTCTGCAACTTGGGAGGCTCAAGCAGGAGGACCACAAGTTCAAGGCCAGCCTCAGCAACTTAAGGAGACCGTCTCAAAAATAAATAAATAAATAACTGTTGTGGATGTAGCTCAGTGGTAAAATGCCCCTGGGTTCAATCCCAGTACAAAAGAAAAAAAAAAAGTTCTAAAATATAACAGAATTTAACATTTTAACCATATTTAAATGTACACAAAATTCAGTGGTATTAAATATATTCACACTATTGTACAATCATTGCCACTCTATCCCTAGAATTTTTTTCATCTTCCTCAATTGAAACTGTACCAATTAAATATTAACTTGGAACAAATTATGTGGGGCTCAAGTAGGAAATCTAAGGAAACTTGTTTCGTAAATCACCTGCTTCTAAAGTTGGCCTAACATCTGAGATGGCTTCATTCACTAAATGTTTACTGAACATATACTATGCTCTAGGCACAAGTACCAGGCCATTTATAGAAACATACATACATATATACAACATATCTATAGTGGCTGGGTACACTGTTCATAATATAAATCTAAGGAGGAATCTGAGTTAGGCACAAAACCAAGTAGTGGTATTTACTGTTATTCCCCTTAAGAATTTGGTTTCTTGGGATGAAGATTCTTCTCTCTTTTCTTTAAAACTATGCATTAATCCTACCATGCTTTATAGGGCCCACTCTATCATTAAAAACAATAATGAAACAGCCATGTGTGGTAGCACACACCTGTAATCCCAGCTACTTATGGGGCTGAGGCAGGAGGATCACAAGTTCAAGGCCAACCTCAGCAACTTAGTAAGATCCTGTCTCAAAATAAAAAATTAAAGGGTCTAGGGTTGTAGTTCAGTGGGAGAGTGCCTCTGGGTCCAATTTCCAGTACCAAAAAAAAAAAAAAAAACCAGAACAAAACAATAATGAAACCCAAATTCTGGAGGCACGTTTGAAGGCTGAAAACAGTTTCTACCCTTAACCTGCTCAGTCTGCCATGCATCAGGATAGCCACTCTTACAAACACCCTCAGTTCTCTTCCATCCTCTTCTGGCCAACTCCAATTAAACTCTTCTTCCCCAAGGCCAGCATGCAAACAGCTGTGCTGCTGGACACATTTACCAAGGAGCTTGGCTTCCTGACCCCAAACCTCTGAACAGGTGCCTGCTCACCTGGCACCCCTGTCTTTCCCAAGTCATGTCAATCCTTTTCTCCTAGATATCTGTCATGCCCTCTCTTCCCTCCTCAATTCACTCACATTTTCTCCTGATAGCCTTGCTTATATTAATTGCATCGGTCCCCAAAGAACAAGCCCTCCTCTGTGCCTGGATTCCACTCCCTCTCTCCTGCAAGATCCACCCTTCCTGCCTTCCTGTCTCACAGACCTTTCCCCTCTGTGCACAGCTTGCTCTGCTATCTCTGCACGCATGTGTGCACACACACACCTCACATTCTTTGAAAAGCCTTCCTTGGCCCTATTCCCCTCCGAGGACCACCCTAGTATCTCTCTACTTCATTTCACAGGTCATTCCTTCCTCTCACTATTTCCCCTCCCCCC